ACTCTTCCTGCCTTTGAAAAAAGTCCTAGTTTTTACCATACCATTGTTTACTTTGAGGAATGCCTAGATATGATGTGGCTCTCTGCTGGCGTCACAAGTAGAGTTACAACTACCTGCATTAGGAAACCTTTCCTAGCAGAAAATAACCATTTAGAATCAGATGCACTTGTAAACTCAACAAACATACCAAAATGTCAAGCCACGAATTCCCTTGTGTTTATTAGCTACTCACTACCTCTCACCGTGATCAGCTTAACTTTCTAGCAGGCAAACATTGGCAGATGTTGGAAGCTTAGATAAAATTCATTAAAAACATAAAATTGAGGAAACATATTAACCTAATTCTTGCTGGAGATGACGACTATTTGTAGTTGTCAGCAGTGGGCACTCAGGGTCACAAGGGAGGACCCAGATTCTGCCTCAGAACTTTGTTACTATTTTTTTGAGACGGAGTCTCATTCTGTCGCCCAGGCTGGAGTGCAGTGGCGCAATCTCGGCTCACTGCAAGCTCCACCTCCCAGGTTCATGCCATTCTCCTGCCTCAGCTACCCAAGTAGCTGGGACTACAGGCACCCGCTACCACGCCGGGCTAATTTTTTGTATCTTTAGTAGAGACGGGGTTTCATCGTGTTAGTCAAGATGGTCTTGATCTCCTGACCTCGTGATCCACCCACCTCGGTTGCTCAAAGTGCTGGGATTACAGGCATGAGCCACCGCACCCGGCCCTGCCTCAGGACTTTGAAACTGTTCAAGGGAGCCCTGAGTTGGAAGTAGGGGTACCAGAGAAGAGAACTAAACAGGCACCCAGCTCCTCTCCAACCGAAGCAGCACTGGAGAATACCGGGTTCCTTACAGCTCATTTGGAAAAAAAAATATATCTACTACTGAAAAGTTCCTGTCCTTTTGTCATGGTCTTCTCTTCCTCCACACTCCACACAAGCCACATCCTCCTCTACCAAGCCATGCTCCACATGCCCTTTTCCATACTCTGGTTGCACCAATGCTATCCATCTTTTTGTTACTTTCAAATTAAGTCACAAATTATCTCCCAAACTCTAAGGGTAGTGATAGGGCCTACACAGTGCCCTGTTCTTCACTCCTCTGCTCAGGACATACCAAACCCAGTGAATGGTGGCAGATTCAATTTTTAGAAATGAAATGAGCATCCTGCCCATTACTACAGCCACCCCCACAATCACTTGTTTGCTCACATGTGCCAAGTGCCTGGGTAGGCCTTGGTATAAAACACACAGTCCTTGTCATCAGGGAACTGCTGTTTAAGTGGAATGTGGGCAAGTAAACTGCCTGCCATGGCACACATGTGAAAGCAGGTCCAGGGGAGGCTGAATCCTGCACCAGCTGGAGCGCAGAGCAAGGATGCCTACAGAGTTCTGTGAGCAAAGGGCAAAGGGGGCCTGAAACTGAGCCATGGGAAAACATCACGTTACAAGAGTAATTTTTTTGCTTGATAATGGACTATTCCATTGGCATGCTGTTATTTTTCTCTCATTCAAGGATGAATGAGGATGAGCATTCAAGGATATTCAGGGTTTTTTTTTTTTTTTTTTTGAGATAGAGTCTTGCACTGTCGTCTGGGCTGGAGTTCAGTGGCGTGATCTCAGCTCACTGCAACCTCTGCCTACTGGGTTCAAGCGATTCTCCTGCCTCAGCCTTCCCAGTAGCTGGGACTACAGGCACGGGCCACCATGCCCAGCTAATTTTTGTATTTTTAGTAGAGATGGGTTTCACAATGTTGGCCAGCCTGGTCTTGAACTCCTAACCTTGTGATCTGCCTGCCTCAGTCTCCCAAAGTGCTGGAATTACAGGCATGATCCACCACACCCAGCTCAGGCATTCTTGCTCTGAGCTCCAGCTGGTGCAGGGTTCAGCCTCCCCTGGACCTACTTTCACATGTGTGCCCTGGCAGGCAGTTTACTTGCCCACATTCCACTTAAATGGCAGTTCCCTGACGACAAGGACTGCGTGTTTTATACCAGGGCCTAGCCAGGCACTTGGCATATGTGAGAAAATGAGTCAATGTGGGGGTGGCTATAGTAAAGGACAGGATGCTGTTACTTTTCTCTCATTCAAAAGCAATCAATTACACAAACCTCTTGCCTCCACACTCCCCAGCTACCAACTCTTTTCTTGCCCCTCTTTACCATAAAACTCCTCAAAATGGTTGTCTAACTCTCCTCAACTCCACTCCTTTCATTTTCTAAATCCAAAAGGTCATGTCAGTCCTCATCTTAATTGACTTCTCAGCAGCACTTGAAAAAACTGATTACGCCTCTCTTCTTCACTTGGTCTCCAAGACACCTCACTCCTGGTTTTCTTCCTATCTCTCCTGTGGCTGCTGCTTCTCAAGACTCCTTTGCTGGCCGGGCATGGTGGCTCACGCCTGTAATCCCAGCACTTTGGGAGGCCAAGGCGAGTGGATCACCTTAGGTTGGGAGTTCGAGATCAGCCTGACCAACATGGAGAAACCCTGTCTCTACGACTAATACAAAAATTAGCTGAGCGTGGTGGCACATGCCTGTAATCCCAGCTACTAAGGAGGATGAGGCACGAGAATCGCTTGAACCCGGGAGGGGGAGGTTGCAGTGAGCCAAGATTGCGCCACTGCACTCCAGCCTGGGCAACAAGAGAGAGACAATGTCTCAAAAAAAAAAAAAATTAGCCAGGCATGATGGCGGGCACCTGTAATCCCAGCTACTCAGGAGGTTGAGGCAAGAGAATCATTTGAATCTGGGAGGCGGAGGCTGCAGTGAGCCGAGGCCATTGCACTCCAGACTGGGCAACAAGTGCGAAACTCTATCTCCCCCCCCCAAAAAAAGGAGACTCCTTTGCTGCGTCCTTCTCTTCTCCCTGACATCTTTCTTTTCTTTTTGAGACAGGGTCTTCCTCTGTTGTCCAGGCTGGAGTGCAGTGGCGCGATCTTGGCTCACTGCAACCTCTGCCTCCTGGGTTCAGGCCATATTCTCCCACCTCAGCCTCCAAAGTAGCTGGGATTACGGGCACCTACCACCACACCGGGCTAATTTTTATATTTTTAGTAGAGACAGGGTTTCACCACGTTGGCCAGGCTGGTTTGGAAATCCTGACCTCAAGTGACCCGCCCACCTCAGCCTCCCAAAGTGCTAGGATTACAGGCCTGAGCCACTGTGCCTGGCCTTCCCTGATATCTTAAAGTAGGAGGGGCCCAGGGCTCTATCTTTGGTCCTCTTCTCTTATACGTTCACTTTATCCGGCTCACCTCTTAAATGTACCCAATTAATTCTTACAAATGCATTATCAAGACACCAATCATTTCTATGGCTTTAAATACCACCTATATGCCAACCACACCCTAATCTATATTCCCATTCCAGGACTTTCTCCCAAATTCCAGACTCGTACATCTGTGCAGAAAAGAATATAACAGGCCTGAGATTGCTATCCTTAGAATGCCTGCTTGCATAGCTGGCCCATGGCTAGTGTCTGGGAACTTGAACTTCATGACAGTTCCCACAATTCCCACCTGGATAACAGCGGCTCACTGTGCTGAAACTGTACGATGTGATTCTGAACACCTGCGTTTTTCTGGGGTGGCTGAAATTTTGGCACACTTTAGGCAGACAGTGCCTATGTGACTTTTTATTGGAAAAATGAGCTCTATGAGCTTTCCTGATAGAGATCTCTCACGTCTTGTCATAATTTGATGCTGCAAGAATTAAGCATACCCCATGTGACTCCACTAGGAGAGGACTCAGAAGACTGCACCTGGTTTCCTCCAGACTTTGTCCCATGCATCTTTTCCCTTTGCTTATTTTGCTTTGTATCCTTTTGCTATAATAAATCACAGCTGTGAGTATGACTATGTGCTGAGTCTTTTGAGTCCTCTTAGTGAATCAATGAACCTGGGGACCTGCAACACAATATCTAACTGCCTATTTGACACCTCCATGTGGGTACATAATAAAGTCATTCATACGATGTCACTCCTTTCCTCAAATCCCTACAAAAGCACTCAGAGAAAAGCAAAGTCTCTACCATGGTCTAAAGGCTCTACAGGATCTGGTGCTCCCTCAGCCCCCATTTCCTCTCCAACCTCATCCGCAATCTGACTCTTGCAAATTCAGCTTCAGCAACACTGGCCTCCTTCCCTTAATTAAGCACTCACCATGTGCCACGCACTAATTTGGGCACTAGAAATTCAGCAGAGGAAAAACATATGGATGAAGATTCCTATTCTTGTAGAGTTTATACTCTAGTAGGGGAAACAGGTACACATACACAAAAAAAAAACACCGTGTAAATTACATGATAGCTAGTGGTTAATGCTCTAGGGGAAGAAAGTGGAGCAGGGTAGGGGGGATTGAGAGGGCAAATGAGGTCAGGCAGGTGGCTCACGCCTATAATCCCAGCACTTTGGGAGGCCAAGGCAGGAGCATCGCTTGTGTCCAAGAGCTTGAGATCAGCCTGGGCAACAGTGAGATCTAAAATAAAAATAGGCCAGACGCAGTGGCTCACGCCTGTAATTCCAGCACTTTGGGAGGCCGAGGCGGGCGGATCACTTGAGGCCAGGAGTTCGAGACCAGCTGGGCCAACATGGTGAAACCTCGTCTCTACTAAAAACACAAAAATTAGCCAGGCGTGGTGCACACCTGTAGTCACAGCTACTCGGGAGGCTGAGGCGGAAGAATCGCTTGAACCTGGGAGGGGGAGGCTGCAATGAGCAGAGTTCACAGCACTGTATTCTAGGCTTGGCCACAGAGCTAGTGTCTTAAAAAACGACAAAACAACACCCCCCTGTGGAATAAAAATTGATCAGAACGGGTGCATTCGAATGAATCAGGAAAAGAACACGCAATGATGGGCCCTGGGAATTGACCTGATAGAAGTTCATTTTAAAAGATCTCTTTGGCGTTGGTGTAGGGTGAGTGGAAGAATGATCACGGCAGAAGCTCATAGGAGGTTCTGGGTGACATCTTCAGGAGAGGTATACAATCTGAACTAACCGAAGACTGGAAGAAAAGCAGTGTCTGTAAGAAAAGCAGCGCTGACTTTGACCTGCTTGACGCCAGGAAACGCTCCACATTCCTGAGCCCGTTCACCGCTCCGTAAGATGGAGAAACTGGTCTAAACGCTTTGAAGTCTAATACAGCTAAAGATCCTTCCCTTTACTTGGAGACCTCGGAGGCTGCAGGCTAAGACAGGGTCGGGTTCCTCTAGCTCCCTCCCCGCCCCTGCGGGCAGTGCACCTTCCTGGGTCCCCAAGGTCAAAGGAAATGGACAACTGCGTTCCCGGGTTCGCAATCTGCATTCGGAGCCAGCAGGAGCGATCGGACGCAGGAACGGAAGTCCTCGCCGCGCTCAATTACCGCAGCCCCTGCGCAGCCCTGGGCTCGCGGGGCGTCCCGAGGCTGGCAGAATACGGGACACTCATGGGGAGACCCGGCTGGAGCGTGGGCGGGGCGGCAGGGCGAAGTGACAGGGGGCGCGGGCAGGGGGCCCGGCGCGGCGCACCAGCAGAGGCGCACTCACCTGTACGTCAGGCCCTCTCGTCCCTCCCCGTGGCCGCGCGGACTGCAGGCCTCCAGGCCACCCCTACCTGCGCCCCGCCCCTTCCGCCGGCGCCGGCGCCGGCGCGGTGAGAGCGGGTCGAGCGGGGCGCGAGGCCTGGGCGGCAGCGAAGCAGCGACTCCTGCTGGAAGCCGCGTCTCGGAGGACTGAGCGGGAAGTAGGCTCGGGGCACAACCGCAGGCGAGCCCAGCGAAGAAGCCAGCGCCGCCTGATTCCATCTGACCGAAGAGAGCTCATCTTAATTCTTTTTTATTTTTCTTTTTTCCTTTTTTCTTTTTTCTTTTCTTTTTTTTTTGATTGAAACCGAGACTCACTCTGTTGCCCAGGCTGGAGTGCGGTGGCGTAATCTCAGCTCACTGCAACCTCTGCCTCCTGGGTTCAAGCGATTCTCGTTCCTCTGTCTCACGAGTAGCTGGGACTACAGGCGTGAGCCACCACGACCGGTTAACCATCTTAGTTATTAATGAAGTCATCCTTTCTCTGGGGCCACTAACCCCTTTGAAAAAAAAAAATTTTTTTAGACGGGGTCTCACTCTGTTGCCTGGAGTGCAATGGTGCGATCTCGGCTCACTGCAACCTCTGCTACCCAGGCTCAAGCTATTCTCCCCACCTGAGTCTCCCCGGTAGATGGGACTCCAGGTGTGCGCCACCACGGCCTGCTAATTTTTGTTTTGTTTTGTTTGTAGAGATGGTGTTTCGCCATGTTGCCCAGGCTGGGACTCAAGTGAAGCGATCTTCCGGCCTCAGCCTCCTAAAGTGCTGGAATTACAGGTGTGAGCCACTGAGCCTGCCCCCTTTTAACATCTCCGAGAGATATAGGCATTGTTTCCAGAAATATGTGCAAATACGTCAGAACTTGCAGTTTCAGGGAACATCTTTTCAAGAATAATGCAATTTACACGTGAGCCAATTCCCCTTTCCTTCCCAACCAACCATCCATCCATCCATCCATCCATCCATCCATCTATCCATCCCTCTCTTATTGGGTCTGTCTCTGGAGAACTCTGACTCATACACCAAACAAGACGTCACCCTGCAACATTCTAACAAAACTTCTAGTCAGAGTCACAGATGACCTCCACAATGTAAATCCAAAGGTCTGGTCTCATTCCTCAACTTACTTGAGTTATAGGATACCACATTGGTTTCACCTACCTCACTTGCCACTTAATCTTCTTCCCTGTTTTTACTTTTTTTGGTTTTGTTTTGTTTTGTTTTTGAGAATGAGTCTCGCTCTGGCCCCCAGGCTGGAGTGCAATGGCATGGTCTCTGCTCCCTGCAACCTCCACTCCCAGGTTCAAGTGATTCTCCTGCCTCAGCCTCCTTAGTAGTTGGGACTACAGGTACGCACCACCATGCCCGGCTAATTTTTTTTTTTTTGAGACGGAGTCTCGCTCTGTCGCCCAGGCTGGAGTGCAGTGGCGCGATCTCGGCTCACTGCAAGCTCTGCCTCCCGGGTTCACACTGTTCTCCTGCCTCAGCCTCCCAAGTAGCTGGGACTACAGGCGCCGGCCACCACGCCTGGCTAATTTTTTTTTTTTTGTATTTTAGTAAAGACGGGGTTTCACCATATTGGCCAGGCTTGTCTCAAACTCCTGACCTTAAGTGATCCACTCGCCTCAAAGTGCTGGGATTACAGGTGTGAGCCACCGCTCCCAGCCTGCTGTTTTTTCATTACATCCTTAGAATGCCAAAGAGCAAGTGCCCCAGGGTTAGGCCTCTAATCTTTTTCCTTTTTATCTATCCTAGCTCCCCAGTTGATCTCCAACAATTTCGTGGCTTTACATATTATCTATATGTGGACAATCCTCAAATTTGTATTGCCAGCCGAGATCATTCTCTTGCATTCAAGACTCCAACTGCCTACTTAACATCTTCACTTGCATATCTAATGGAAATCTCAAACTTGATAGGACCAAAACCCAGATCCCAGTCTCATCACCACACCCAAATGCGTTCCTCCCACAGCATTCCTTATTTCAGTTAAGGAAATAACTGTTAAGGAAATTCCACCCTTCCTATTACTTAGGTCAGATATCTTAGAGATACCCTCAATTTCTCCCTTTCTGTCTCACCTGGGATTAGAAGTGCGCACTACCACACCTGGCTAATTTTTGTATTTTTAGTAGAGATGGGGTTTTACCATGTTGGTCAGGCTGGTCTTGAACTCCTGACCTCAGGTCATCCACCCGCCTCAGCCTCCCAAAGTTCTGGGATTACAGGTGTGAGCCACCACACCTGACCGCTTACCTTTCTTCAGGCTATCCTCAGGACAATAACCAGAGTGATCCTATTACATCACAAATCAAATCCTATCATTACTCTACTTAAAACCCTCCTGGGCTGGGCGCAGTGGCTCACACCTGTAACCCCAGCAACTTGGGAGGTTGAGGTGGGCAGATCATCAGGTCATGAGTTTGAGACCAGCCTGACCAACATAGCGAAACCCTATCTCTACTAAAAATACAAAAATTAGCCAGGCATGGTGGTGTGTGCCTGTAATCCCAGCTACTCAGGAGGCTGAGGCAGAAGAATAACTTGAACCTTGGAGGCGGAGGTTGCATTGAGCCGAGATAGTGCCTCTGCACTCCAGCCTGGCTGACAGAGTGAGACTCCGTCTCAGAAAAAACAAAAACAAAAAACAAAACCCAAAACCCTCCCAGGCTACCTACCTTATGTTACAGTTAAAGCCAAAATCCTTTCAATGACCTGTGAGGCCTTCTGCATCTGACCTCATCTACATTGCTGACCTCAGCTACACTGCTGACCTCATCTCCCACCACCTTCCTCCTCCCTCTCTGGGTCCAGCCATACTTGCCTCCTTGCCTTTCCTGAATGAGGTCCCTGGAAATCTCAGATGATGTCTTGCCTTAGGGCTTTTGCACACCTTCCTCCCTCCATCTGGAATCCTCTTCCCTCAGCTGACCACATAATTTGTTTCCATACTTCCTTCAGGTTTTCACACAAATGTCACTTTCTCAGTGAGGCATTCTCTTAATTATACTATTTTAAATTAACCCCCTACGTGATGGTATGTGCCTCTAGTCCCCGCTACTCAGAACTCTGAGGCAGGAGGATTGCTTGAACCCAGGAGTTTGAGACCAGACTGGGCAAGAGAATATTTTAGATCCAGCCTTAAAAAAATTATTAAATTAAATGTCCTAAAATGTTTCAATTTTTCTTCACAACACTAATCACCATCTAATATATTTTCCACGTATTTAACTCTTCTGTCTACTCCCACTAGAATGTGAGCCCTGTCAGGGTAAAAATCATGTTTAATGTACTGCTGTATCCAGTGCCTAGAACTGTGACTAGCACATAGGAGGTTCTGAATAAATAAGAGTTGAGAATAGAATAAATCTACATATACAGAGATATTCACTGCAGCTTTATTTGTATGATACTAAAAAATGAAAACAACCTGATTTTCCATCAGTGTAATTATTTATTTAATTATTTTTTTGAGACAGGGTCTCGCTCTCTCACCCAGGCTGGAATACAGTGGCGCTATCTTGGCTTACTGTAGCCTTGAAATCCCTGGCTTAAGCAATCCTCCCACCTCAGCCCTCTAATTGTTGTATTTTTTGTAGAGACAGGGTTTCACCATGTTAGCCAGGATGATCTCGAACTCCCACCCTCAGGTGATCTGCCCACCTTGACCTCCCAAAGTGCTGGAATTACAGGCATGAGCCACCAGACCTGGCCCCATCAATGTTCTTATTTATATTAGTTTCATTTTATTTTACTTTTTGAGATGGAGTCTCGCCCTGTTGCCAAGGCTGGAGTGTAGTGGCCCAATCTCAGCTCATTGCAACCTCTGCCTCCTAGGTTCAAGCAATTCTTCTGCCTCAGCCTCCTGAGTAGCTGGGATTACAGGTGCCCGCCACCATGTCCAGCTAATTTTTGTGTTTTTAGTAGAGACAGGGTTTCACCACGTTGGCCAGGCTATTCTCCAGTTTCTGACTTCAGGTGATCCGCCTGCCTCAGCTTCCCAAAGTGCTGGGATTACAGGCATGAGCCACCATGCCTGGCACCTATCAATGTTTTTTTTTTTTTTTTTTTTTTGAGACAGAGTCTCGCTCTGTCGCCCAGGCTGGAGTGCAGTGGCCAGATCTCAGCTCACTGCAAGCTCCGCCTCCCGGGTTTACGCCATTCTCCTGCCTCAGCCTCCCGAGTAGCTGGGACTACAGGTGCCTGCCACCTCGCCTGGCTAGTTTTTTATGTATTTTTAGTAGAGACGGGGTTTCACCGTGTTAGCCAGGATGGTCTCGATCTCCTGACCTCGTGATCCACCCGTCTCGGCCTCCCAAAGTGCTGGGATTACAGGCTTGAGCCACCGCGCCCGGCCACCTATCAATGTTTTAAAAATATACAAAGTAATAATGATGTTTAACATTTCTTAGAACAGAAGAGCTGGGTATGGTGGCTCATACCTGTAGTGCCAGTACTTTAGGAGGCTGACGTAGGTAGGAGGATCACTCGAGCCCAGGAGTTTGAGACCAGTCTGAACATAGTGAGACCCTGTCTCTAAAAAAAAATAATAAAGTTAACCAGGCATGGTGGCATGCATCTGTAGTCCCAGCTACTTGGGAGGCTGAGGCAGGAGGATTGCTTGAGCCCAGGACATCAAGGCTTCAGTGAGCTGTATGCAAGATCCTCCATTACAAAAAAAAGAAACGAGAAAACTATTTAAAGGATTGATTGAGCCACATCTGTTTGTCCAGCCTACCTGCATGCAATAGGTGATTAGATGGGGAAAAAACCAAAACCGAAACCAAAAAAGACCCGTGAAAGTAGCCCTTACAGTAGATCTGTGGAAACAGCCCTTTTGAGAAATAATAAAATGAACCAGACACTAAAGAAAGAATTTCCAACCAGGCACGGTGGCTTACGCCTGTAATCCCAGCACTTTGGGAGGCCGAGGTGGGCAGATCACTAAGTCAGGAGTTCGAGAACAGCCTGACCAACATGGTGAAACCCTGTCTCTACTAAAAATTCAAAAATCAGCCAGGCGTGGTGGCTCACACATGT